GGCCATAATGCGAAAGAAAATCGATGTCCGTTGTAGCGCCTAGTCTTAATGAAAAATCAGTCCAAAACACAAACAATTTCAATGTTACAATTCTAGGGAGAGCACCACCAAACTGGGATAGCACAGAGCGTCGCACGTGTAACTGAATGGAATGGAATGGGTGAGCAAACAACACAATGGTATTGTGGGAGGGAGACAACATAATGACATGCGCTTGGGTGGGATAACAATAAGGTTGGGAAGCAGGTAGTAGATAAAGAGTAGACCCACGGTATTTATAATCATCAGTTGCAAAAAATAATAATTTATGAAATTTAGAATATCTTGATAATTTTCGCCCTTGTCCTACAATAATTACAATATCTCCGAACATCCTTGAGCGAATTTTATGATGGGTACCATTTTAGAATCTTCATTAAGTGGGCAAGTTTTTCTAATTATTTGTTAGAAAGCGGCCATATATTTTTTTACACCACAATAAGTCAAAGTAGCATAAACATTATTATTGCAGAAAAAAATGTTAAAATAAAGTGCTCTGAACTCCAAGTTTTAAAATTTGTTTTAAAATTCTCCATTATTTTAAAAAGTTTATTTATAGTGAGACCACACAATCACTTACAATTATTATTAGTAAGAAAAAGGTGCAAATAAACTCGAAACACAATAAGTATAGGCGTAAACTTAATAAAATTCCAAACAATTTCAATAAAATAAATAAATAAATTAAAATCGATGGCCATGTGCGTTATATTTTTTTTAAATATTTTTAGTGATGATAGGTCAGAGATCAAGCTACCTCCCATGGCAGTTTGATTAGATAATTCTGGGACAACCTGTAGAAGTGTTTAGTTTTAATCGGGAAGTTTGAAATACTAATTTATTTTTATATCGTAGCGTGTATTTGCATGTTAAATCTTCACGTTTTGTATATAGTTGCTTATTTTTTCGAACAAATTTACACATTTTCAAGATACTCGTATATAAGCTGGGTAAGGTTAATATTTTATATTTAAGAAAGAACTGCCTGCAACTATTATTCTGATCTATATTTGCTATAATCCGGATTAATTTCTTTTGAAGAGTGAATTGAGAGGCTGCATCTGTGCTGTTGCCTCACAGAATTATGTCGTAACTTAGCCAAGCGTGCGCATATGCATAGTAGATTGTTATTGCCGTTTCTATGTTGGTAGTTTTTTTTTAATTTCGCGTAATGCATATGAAAAGCCCGAACGTTTAGACCTCACTCTATAGACACGCGCTTTCCAATTCAAGTGAGTGTCTATATGTACTCGTATACCGAGTAATTTAAATTCTTTTACAGATTCTAAAATTGTGCCATTGTAATCGAATTTTAAATTTAATGGAGTTTTTTGGTAAGGATGAAAAGTTAATATTTTAGTTTTAGAAAAATTTATTTTTAGTCTATGATCATTCAACCAGTCTGAAATTTTGGTAATAAATAAATGAAGTTTTTCATAGATATCACGGTCGTTGTGACATGAGGTTAATCATCGGCAAACAAGACAGATGTTTCGTCTATAGGTTTGCGAAGGTCATTTATGTAAATCAAAAATAAAAGACAACCAACGACACTTCCTTAAGGGTATCCTTAAGGTACATATGCATTTGTTACCTTACAATTTGAGCGCACGTATGAAATATTTTTGGTAGTAATATCGAAGTGTTCGATCTCAACAAACTAGTTGATACCTAGTTTTGTGCCTCTTTTATCGTTTCGCTTTCATCGCGGAAAAACAGAGATCGCTGTCTGTATCAATGGAAAACTGCATCTTCGTGTTGCGGCCAATAACGAATAACCGACCAGTACTTGGGCAATCGTAGGTTGCCGTTACCGATTACTTTGCTCATTTCCCGACTGGGAATCATCGCATAGATTAATGCACTTAATTGTACGGTCGCCATATTTATTATGATACTAGCACATAGGGAACCTCCTGTGACTAGAAAGCAACCTGGGGTTGCTTCTTGGGCGGCTTCTGCTTCATAATCTAGGACGTTTCTTGTTTAATTGAGTCGTTACGGTCTTCACTTGCCTAGTTAGATCAGCTATTTGACAAGTGCCTCAAGATAAGTGGTCGTTTGTGACACTATTATTGTTTGCGTGCTGTTTGGTAATTGACTCATCCAGATAGCTCGAAGAAAGTTGTAAGGTATACCTGGTCTAGCCAAATGTTGTAAGTGTCGGAGGAATTGTGAAGGTTTTCTATCGCCTAACTCTTCGTGCATTAATAGTTGTTTCATTTTTCTGTCTCTAGACGCCGACAGACGTTTGATTAATTCTGTTTTTAGTTTTTCGTATTTCTCTGTGTTTAGAGGGGAGATATTTATATCCTCGACCTTTGATGCACACTGTAATAGAATTTTGTTGCATATGCTGTTATATTCGAAATTGCAAACTGCCCTTCGATTTGCGCGAACCAAATTGCTGGTTTTTCAGGCCAAAATGGCGGTTTTCGCACCCCAACCCGAAAAACATCAGATGATAAGACGAGACTTTGTTCGGCGGCCTTTTGTTTCTCACTCATATTTATATTGTGCACTTTTACGGTGGAGTTAGCACTATTTTTTACGCTTTGATATATAGGTTCAGAAATGCTTTATATTTTTAATGTTATTTTGAATTGACGACATGTAGTTTTTATAACGAATTTCGTACCCTTTACTAAAACTACAATAACTTCTAAAGTACTTTTTAAGCCTAGAGAATTCATTACAATCATAAGAATTTTATATTTTTTCCACTTGATCCAGACACGCTCTTTACGTTTATAAGTATGGATCAGAATGGCATTAAACCAAACAGGAAATGAAAAATATTTAAAATTTTTTGTAAGTTAGAACTTCTTAATAAAACCATAGAGTATTTCATAAAAGTCATCACAGCTACTTCGGCTGATTTACCTAAGAACATTTCGTCTAATGGCATCTTGAATAGTTCATTATTTATGACTAAGTAGTCAACATTTCGAAAACAAAACTGTGTTCGTGAACTCTGTGGCATAGACTTATTATCTTGCATAAAAGGTACTAAAGGATAAAAAGTAGGGTGGATATTATCCAAGGGTACTAAATTATAAGGAGCATCCATAATTTTACATTCTAAAATATTTGATATAAATAAATCTAAGGAGCGGTCATTTAAGTTTCTGAAGTGATTAAATTGGAAGCTGTCCGTCAAAGCCGTAATATTAACTAAGCGTATAGAAGATAAACATTTGCCAATATAAAAGCTGGGTTCTAGATAATTATTTTAAGGAAGAATTGTGGGTTAGTTAAAATCTCCCACCATTAAAAATTTACATGAGTAAAGGTTGCATAACATAACATTGTAATCTAGGTAAATAAGGTATACCTCACTATTTAAATCAGGTGGAATGTATGAAGCGCATACCCGAACCTTTAAGTATCAAGTTATGATCAACATTAGAAAGCGACTCGGGGTGCAACGTGAGACACGAGGGGCAGGCCGTATGGCACGGCAGCAAGCGAGCTGCGCACCGATACTAATACCACAGAGTACATTTTTACATATCACGGAGTACTTTTATATGTAGGAATAGAGGCTTTACACAACGCGTTCAGAAGGAAATCGATTGATGACGCCATCTATAACTATAAACCTATAACTTTCCTGCTATGTACATAACTATGTAGATTGTATATATAAATATGTATATATGTATATATATATATATATATATAGCCGTGGTAGCTCAGTGGTTAACGCTCGCTGTAAATATAACAGAACGCGAGTAACCCGGGTTCGATCCCCGCCGGCACCAATGAAATTGTTAATTGCAATTAAAAATTTAAGTGCTGATTTACCACGTGCTCGGCGGTGAAGGAAAACATCGTGAGGAAACCTGCATGTCTGAGGATTAAGAAAAAAAAATATTTCGAAGACATGTGAAGTTCGTCAACACGCATTTGGGCAGCGCGGCGGACACTTCCTTGCCCTAAACCCTCTCAGAAATGAGGGGAGGCCTGAGCCCAGCAGTGGGACGTATATAGGCTGTAACTTTACTTTTATATATATATATATATATATATATATATATATATATATATATATATATATATATATATATATATATATATATATATATATATATAGATGTATAGACCAACGTATACGAATAAATTGATGGATTACTTAAGTCTGCAGAAAATAAAACCCAAATTATTATAATCTTAGTCATTTATTTTGCATTGGTATTATAGTCGTCGTAGTAGGCCATAATATTTGTATATTATAGTTATATTTTCTATCCTGGTCACTGTCAATATATTTTTCGCCAGATAATATTTTATTTATATTTTTACAATTTACAAAAAACAATAACACAAACAAAAAAATCGACATACTAATTTTTTTTAGGTTTTTTCAATGGATTTTTGTTTTAAATTATTATATTAACATTTATAACATCTTGCATGTTAGATATGCATGTTAAAAAATCTGGGCTAGGACTGGAAAGCCAAAGACGATTGCCAATGTCACTTCTGCTAATAAAATAATTTCGCTATAGAGATTACCCTTACAAATTTCGCAAGACCTAAATATTTTGTTTTTCGTTTTTATTTAATACCCCGAAACTTATTGTCAGTGTAGAGAAGCCCAATTATTTGGGGCTGACTTTTTTCCTCTAAAGGTGTATGTGTAATATCACTTACAATATCTAAAAAGATATCACCAGTCGTTAAAAGATATCAGCTTCTCTATTCTTTGCAACAATGAGGGCATGTAGTGCATTGCATTAGTCTTTTTCACATTTTGCTCCAGGGGCATGGACACGGGACAGGCTATTAAACAATTAGATAGTTTACGCTGATTCAAATCTCTCTGGCGTTGGATTAGTGTTCAGCACCCGTGGCTTCTTATGGCCCCAAAGAAGTTCTCGGTTGAGTCTTGGTTTAGGTGCCGCATCTATAAAGACGTATTGTTGTAATCAACAAATAAACATAATATACAAATAAACATGACTAAGCTACGCAAACATTTGGCTACTTCGACTCAGACGTTCAACCTTAAAGAATCAGACATTGAACAACTAGCTAACTTTATGGCGCACATACACGCTGTCCACAGACAAAACTATAGATTGCCCGACGACGTGTATCAGACGGCTGAGCTATCAAAACTACTTCTGCTCATGGAGAGTGGCAAAGTAGACTCTTATAAAGGCAAATGTTTGGATGACATAAACTTAGATTTAGTAGTAAATACAAAATATTTATTAAGCAAATAATCTAGATTATATTATTTGCTTAGTAAATATTTTGTACTTATTAATTTCATTTCATTTGAGGCGAGAGTCAGAGGGAATTGCGACTACCGACAGCGCTTTATATAACTATCCAAGTGTATTCCTCTGCACGTATATCTTTTACATATTATTTCATTGTATCCGACTTTCTTATTATTAACGTTGTCAACGTGTTACTTGTATTTGGTGATAGATGGTTTATACTGCGCTTGGTGCTAGTAATTTTACTTTTAAACTTGTTTTCGTAACCTTAAATTTACCTACACTTAATATGGACTCCGAATATCCAAAAACTTTCATACTGAATGACATTTGACGCCCGTATCTTTGAATTTAGTTATATTTTTACAAATGTCGACGTGGACGTCAGAATATCTGTTTATTTCATGCTGCACTATATTTTAACATTTTACATTTGGTACTAAGCTGCCTAAAAGAACTCTTGTTATTTCGTAAGCAACTCGTAATTCTGTTTGAGTATAAATTACCTTCTTATAGAGTACAGGAAGATGGAGTCAATTGTAGATATTGACAGATTTTTTTTAAATAGAAGTTTGTTTTATAATATTCTGACTAATAATCAATATGTCCTTGGAAAGAAACTCATTTTAATATAACGTTTTACTGCATTAATTGTGTATACTAATGTGGCTATATTATTAATAAAACAAATAATATAGCCACATTATATATAGTACCTAGATGACCGAGCTTAGCTCGGTATTTTTTTTTTTTTTTTGGAAATCGTGTGGTTTTGAAATTATATTTAGATACCAATTACAAACTGATGAAACAAATAATATTTCTTGATCTTATTGACATAATAGAAAAAACTGAACTTGTTATTTGAAGAAAACTCTTGACTGCAATTAGTTTAATTTAATATTTCGTATTTTAAAAAAAAATACTAATAAAGTGCGCGGAATAATAGATTTTTTCACAAATTAAGGGAACTTGAACAAAAAGGGAAAAAAGTCGGACCGAAGACATGAGTCGCACCCGGGCCTTACGATTTTGCGACTGCCCGTTTTCTACTTGAGCTATTACGATCATTAGTGCACTGTCAAAATTTACCTGTGATGATGATGATTATGAAAAACTGCTATAATAAAAAAAGGTAAATTTTGACAGTGTACAAATGATCGTAAAAACTCAAGTAGATAACGGGCAGTCGCGAAATCGTAGTGCCCTGGTTCGCGTCCTGTCTTCGGTCCGACTTTTTTCCTTTTTTTTTCAAGTTCCCTTAATTTGTGAAAAAATCTATTATTTCGCGCACTTTTTTAGTATTTTTTTTAAAAATACGAAATTTTAAATTAAACTAATTGCACTCATGATTTTTTATTCAAATAACCAGTTCAGTTTTTTCTATTATGTCAATAAGGTCAAAAAATATTATTTATCTTTCATCAGTTTGTAATTGGTGTCTGAATATAATTTCCAAAACACACGATTTCCAAAAAAAAAATAGGTCATCCAGGTACTATATATAATGTGGCTATGTTATTTGTTTTATTAATAATATAGCCACATTAGTATACACAATTAATGCAGTAAAACGTTATATTAAAATGAGTTTCTTTCCAAGGACATATTGATTATTAGTCAGAATATTATAAAACAAACTTCTATTTAAAAAAATCTGTCAATATCTACAATTGACTCCATCTTCCTGTACTCTATCAGAAGGTAATTTATACTCAAACAGAATTACGAGTTGCTTACGAAATAACAAGAGTTCTTTTAGGCAGCTTAGTACCAAATGTAAAATGTTAAAATATAGTGCAGCATGAAATAAACAGATATTATGACGTCCACATCTACATTTATAAAAATATAACTAAATTCAAAGATACGGGCGTCAAATGTCATTCAGTATGAAAGTTTTTGGATATTCGGAGTCCATATTATGTGTAGGTAAATGTAAGTTTACGAAAACAAGTTTAAAAGTAAAATTACTAGCACCAAGGGCAGTATAAACCATCTATCACCAAATACAAGTAACACGTTGACAACGTTAATAATAAGAAAGTCGGATACAATGAAATAATATGTAAAAGATATATACTTGGATAGGATAGCAGAGGAATACACTTGGATAGTTATATAAAGCGCTGTCGGTAGTCGCAATTCCCTCTGACTCTCGCCTCAAGTGAAATGAAATTAGTAAGTACAAAATATTTACTAAGCAAATAATATAATCTAGATTATTTGCTTAATAAATATTTTGTACTTACTACTAAATCTAAGTTTATGTCATCCAAACATTTGCCTTTATAAGAGTCTACTTTGCCACTCTCCATGAGCAGCAGTAGTTTTGATAGTTCAGCCGTCTGATGCACGTCATCGGGCAATCTAAAGTTTTGTCTGTGGACAGCGTGTGTGTGCGACATAAAGTTAGCTAGTTGTTCAATGTCTGATTCTTTAAGGTTGAACGTCTGAGTCGAAGTAGCCAAATGTTTGCGTAGCTTAGTCGTAGTAATAGCTGCAAGATTTTGAGCTCCACTTGCAATGGCGTACTTTTCAAGACCTTACAGCCACATAATGTACTTTTCGATCCGGGTTTTGCAAACAAAAAGTCGTTTTTTTTCCACATATATAATTGCGTCTCACAGAGATAAGCAAATCGATGTCACTTTGGAATTCGTCAGTCAACAGAAAATGTACACTGTAGTGTTATGCTACTTACATATCATTTTTAAATTTATTTTTCCATTCTATTTTTGATTTTCTGCATTCACCTCAAAACTGGATATTTTGCATCACCTTTATTTCCATAGGATCCTGTAACGTTTTTAAACCATAAGAACACAATAACAAATCATTTTCACTTCGTATTTTCACGCTATCAGCACTTTTTAAATCGGTGTCAACGGAGTCTACCTTTTTCGATCTTTTATTTAGTTCTCCGTAACTAAAAGCTGCAATTTCGGGCTTCGTGCGCGCTGTTGCGCTACCTTTTTTCCTATATCAATAATATCTCATTTTTCACTTAAATCTTGCCGTTTCTCTATTACGAGCCTGAAACCAAAATTTGACATGTTTTGACATCGTTGTTTATCTGGTTGTCATGGCAATTTTTATTCAAATTCGTTACCGGTCTGATGTTTTTACTTCAAAACTTCCACAAACTTCTTTTCTTCTTGGCCATTTACAAAAATTTGCTTTTACTTTAAATAATTTCCCGTTCTTATCTCAGATCCGACGTCGAGCGCGGCGCTCTCTAAAAAAGTGTAAAAGCCGAACAATCGGCCAATAAAGGCAGTCTTGCTTCAGCTTTCAAATTAGAAGCATCTCCTAAAGGCCTTATCCCGGGGCGGGAATCCCTACGTTGTTGTTGCTGTACCTGTAGACGCTGCGTGTACCTACTCCAGACGCTGCGTGTGCCTACTCCGGGCGCTGTGTGTGCCTAGTCCGGGCGCTGTGTGTGCCTACTTCAAGCGCTGCGTGTGCCTACTCCAGACGCTTCGTGTGCCTAGATCAGGTGCTGCGCACCTACCACAGGTATAGCCTGCGCATAATCCGTGAGCGGTGAGCACCAGTGCCAAGCGCGGTGTGCGCACCTTGGTCTTCGAGCTCCGTTTCAGTACTCATTTATCTTTGTTATTTTTTAAAAAAATATTCGTCACCCATCATCATCTTCATTTTTTAATATTATATAAAAAACTGTAAATATCTTTTAAAATTTTAAATTAATTTTTTTTGTTGTTTCGTTTTTAATTGTCGCTTTACGACATTTTGGCGCCCAACGTAAAAGTTCTCTTTCTCTCTTAATTTTTTTTTCTCTTTTCTTCACCTTTACTACGCCTTATCCATTTCCTTTTGATTTAATTGCTTTCTCTTTCGTTCTTAACTCTTTATTTACTCATCCTTATCATATCTTCCAAATTCTAAAACAAAACTTCATCTAGTTTTTCAACTTATCTGGATTATATTTAGACCTGCATATAACACTTCACTTACATTCATCACTTTAATATTTTTATTCTATATAACTTAAAGAGGTACATTTTTAATTAAATTTTTATTTCTTAAACTTAACTTTGCACTTAATTATAACAATGAAAAGGGTTATTAAGTACGAATTCCTTAACAAGGCCGAACTCGAATACGAAGTGAAGATTAGATGTGAGGAACCAGCTAATACTGTTTTGCTTCTAAAAAAAACAGGTTTTGCGTTTAGTTGAGAATTCTCACCCTGAAGATATTCTGACTTCTCCAATTCCGATCGAGGATGACTTGTCTCAAATTGGTTCTACTTTGACCTACCTGGACTGTAAAATTGAAAAATTTTTACAAGGTGAAACCAAGTACTTACGACTAATAGAAACTTTTTATTAATCATGTTTTTTACAGATTGGAGCGAATAGATACTGACTTATATCCAGATTTTAAAGCTATTTTCGATACTTTGAAGATGAAATTTGACGCTATTACTAAACAATTCGAATCCTTGACTCCACCTCCAACTGAAAATGACTCTCCATCACTTGACCCTCCTGTTGACCCGACTGTCATGGAACCTCCTCTTGTTTCTCAAACTTCTGTTAAGATCCATACCCCGTATCCTTCACCACCACCTCAATCTTTTTCTCCAACTAACGTCTTCAAAGATCTGAAAAGACACACCTTCAATGGTAAAAGCTGTCCAAGATCCTTTCTTCAAAAACTTGAAGAATACTGCTTAGCTCGTGGCTTGTCCAAAGACTTGTTGATTTCTCAAGCGTTCGAAATTTTCACCGACAATGCTCTTCATTGGTTCAGATTTAAATATAATCAGAATCCAAACTTAACTTGGAACGAACTTTCCTCTTTATTAATCAAAGACTTTGGTGGTTTTGATTATGATCATAAACTTCTAGAAGCGATTAGGAATCGAACTCTAGGCCGTGATGAACCTATCGTCATCTATATTTCCATCATGTCTGGAATGTTTTCTCGTCTTTCGAAGAAACTTTCTGAAACAGAACAATTGGAGATTATTT